CGAGACCGGACCAGGCCCGCTAAAACCGGACCAAACGGTCCTGGCCCGTTTAGCCGTTTGGCCTGTTTGGCCCGCGGTTCCGGGCCGATCCCGGGCCTGGACCGGCCCACTTGCCAGCCTTACTTTACAATGATAATAGAGCTCACTATTTATAGATGTACCTAGAGAACAAGGTCCTAGGATCAAGCCCTTCTTCAATGTCAATTATGGGGGCCATTAAAAAATGTGTAATGACGGGCATGAATGCCATATTCTTTGTAACGGGCAGTGTACTAAATGCTGTAAAATATTCTTCATTAAATGCTGCCGGATGGCAGACATTTATTTCATCTTTATGAGTTTCATTCTTTCCGGTAACAGACGGAGTAGTTGCCTTCGGTTTCAGCTATCCTCTGCCTTTGGCTCCACGTGTCACTTCCTTATGCGATCATTTAATATAACATATTTTACCCTATACACACTCGTTATTTTAAGTTAAAAATTCGACAAAAGTGTAAAATTTGTTAGTAGAGCAACTAAAAGCGCCCAACTTAGTTGAGTATTAATTTATGAAACTCAAATTTGAAATTTAACAATAACTGAGACAATAAATAGTGCAGTAATTCTTTCCTCACTTTCGAATGTACCCTTGGTTGGAAAATTAAGGATGAAAAAATAAATGAAATACTGTAAAGTCGTTCCTTTTTAAATTTTTATTTTTTTTCGTTTACTCCTTGCTCATGTCCTTGTATTATTCACTGCTATGAACATCCAAAGCTTCCTTTATGCCAACTTCCTCTGGTTAATACCCACATACACAGAGGCAAAAACATAAAATACCTAAAGAATAATGAAGGATAAAAAGAAATGTAAGTAGCAGTAGTAGATGTAGATGAGACAAAAAAATAATGGTTTATTGATTCTTAAGAGTTATTCCATGTGAAAGTATAATTGACTATAGGGGACTGGTTTATTGTAGCCATATCAAATCCAATGAAGACATGAATACATTTTTTGCTAATTATAATGCGAGCTTTCAATAATGCTTATCTACAACTGGGAGAATTGAAGTTGGGGAATACAATGAACTTGATGGACAATGGTGCAACTGATATCGGAGATTCAATATTTTTAAGAACTGGAGTCAAACTTGGAATGTCTCCTGTTTCTGTGAGTTGTAATGGTTTCCCGTTGAGGAGCATAGTTCTACTCTGAAGGTCGCCGCCTTCTGGAGTTAGATGATACTCTTCTCGATATAATGTAACATCTGATGATTTGCTTCCTACCCACGAAACAGTTTCTTTAAGACCGTGCACGAATGCATTTTTCTTGTGATTTTTTTTCTCACCGACTTGCAAGCTGGTATATGCACTGGATTGGATGTTGACCCCATACTGAATCTGGTTGCTTAAATTGATCAGAAGTAAAGTCACACCTGCCTGCACAAAGGCAAAATCAGTAATTTAATATGTGGTTTTGGTCTTCAGCAGTAGCATGGATATGTAAATAATCAAGTAAGTTGATATATGCGCAGGAGGGAATCAACTATAATCCTTCATTTTTGATGATCCATTTTTCAGAAAAAGCAAAATATAAGTAGCATAGAGTATAAGTTTGAGACATTGGCTGCAATTCTGATGTGCAAGAACACGAAGGTTGGTTTTTGAACTAATTAGCAAATGCATCATGACAGAAAAAATCAAGTAAGGCTGATTGCATAGTCTACACTGGAAGCAGTGTAACGTATTGCATCTAGCTATAAGTTCCCCCTGCAGAGTTCATAAAACCCAAATCATTTGGTCGTTATGTGTTAGAACTCTGAAATAATCCAAAACTATGTCAGAGAAGCACTTGAGCCGTTGCATCTTTGTAGTCTAACTAAGAGCAGCTCTAATGTTTGAGCCTTCGCAAAATGTTAGATTGACACAATGCCTTGTGCGGCAGATGAAAAACAAAAAACGAAAAAAAATCAGTAATTCCTTTTTGGGGAGCCTTCAAAGCACTTGGTATCAAGATACCTTTCCGATGTAGTAAATAATGCATTTCAGATTACATAAGTGAATCAGGATATAAATGGCACTCTTACTCTATCTTTTGTACAATGGGCATAAGAGCGCAAATATGGTGAGGCGTTGCTGCTAACATCAAGAACTTCTTTTCCCATCAGTCTATGCCAAAGAAGTGCACTGTATTGAAGTGAAAATGAACAGATCAGATACTTTTTAATTAGATTGTGAAGGACCTAACACAGAATATTAAAAAATAACAGCCTGCTACTTTGAATAATATAGTGAAGTCGAATAAGGTAGTCAAGCACCTCACCTATAATAATCAGGATTTGGAACAAACGTGCTGGTATCAAGGAGCCCATAATTTCCACCAATAAGAGTCTGCCGGCAGTATACTTTAGTATGGTGCTTCGCCGCCATGCCAAGCTGATCTAAATACCTATAATTCATGTTAAAGGCAAGGCAAAAATGAAAAATCATATCACATGCCTGAATTATGGTATCTGGAATTGCTTCACTCGACTGCTAGTTAATACTATAAATCAAATTAAGCAAGAAAATTTACCAAAAGCTATCTACGAAGGCGTTAGACACATTAGGACCTCCACTGTTGTAGGCTCCACCAGATTCTCCAACCCAAGCTGAAGCCCAAGGACCCTTCATTTTTATGGTTTGAGTAAGATTACCAAATGTGTCTGATATTTTATTCAGGTATTGAGGATTTAAAACTTTATCTACAAGCTTGCTTCCTTCAGACCCTGAAACAGAACACTTCTGGTTTAATTATTTGGAATGACATTAATAAATTGATCAGCTCCTTAATCAAGATAATACAAGCAGTGATATCATATCCAGAGCTGTGGGTTTATGAATTTATTTTTATTTTATTTTTTATGTTGACATTTGATGTCAGATGTCAAGGAAACATCAATTTGTTTGGTAACTAAACTATATCTCTTCTTTAATCATTGCGATAAAAAATATTTCACATGTTGTATATTGAATATTATCGTCTACTACTTCTTTTAAAAGATGAATCCAGAAAGATAAGTAAGAGACTCAAACGAATATAATCACTTACATATAGCTGATAAATGTCGAAAAAGGCCTCAACTCTAAGTAACGGCGAAAAGAATAAACCAGAATGACAACTATCTTCTCTAGAGACTATTTACACATTTCTAAAAAACTTTCATAGGAAGAAATAGATTGGAGAAGTATCAATTTTCTAAGCATATATAATAAAGTATAAATTAGAAATGTTGAATTTCAAAACTAACATAGTATAAGAAAAGAAAAAAACACAACAAACCTCAATGATATGAGAATTTAAAAAAAAAAAAATTGAAGTCTACATTATCCTCTTTCATTACTACTATGTGCAGTGCAAGATAAATTCAGTCTCTTTGATTATATAACATGATTAATTCCAGTGTCAAGCCAAAAGTATTTGTATGCAGCTTTTCCATTATCTCAAATGCTATTGCCAAAAAAGTAACTCAAACGACAACGAATGGAGACCAAGTGTCATAAGCAAAAGCATTTAAGATTTTATCCGTGATTTTATGAGTTTAAGAATATGCCTTAATTTTCAAATACAAATTAGATTATAGAAATCAAGGGGATTCTTCATATAACTCCGTTCTATTAAAACAAACAGATTTACACTAGCTCACCTGGGCCAAGATTATAAATATGATGCGTCAAGACATTGACTATGCCAGGCCCTGAAACCTCAAGGAGCTTGCTGAACCACTCAGGACTATAGAATCCTCCTGGTGCTAATAGAAGAGGACGTTGGTCGAAATTCTTGTATACTTGGTCTATGAGATTGTGCAGATGGATAACATCTTTTCCATACTGTACAGCATTAACACTTGCACCAATTCCCTGACCACTCAATTCATTTCCTGCAAAACCAGAAAAAGCAAGATTGAGGAAAGGAACCTCTTTGGTAAAGGAGAGATTTAAATAAAGTTGCAAGATGAAAGAAATATGCCAGAAATATACCAAATTCCCATGAGTGTATCTGGTAGCCCTTGGCAACAGTGTATTTTATGAAATCGAGGGCATTGCTGGAATCCCAATTTCCTCCCCACGCATGCCTATTGATCCGCCGTCTCCCATACAACGCATTCAAGCCAAAAGTCACAAGTGCTCTGCAGCAAAAGCAGTTGAACTTATATGAACTTCAAGGGAGAACTTTTGGTAAGTTTTTTGACAGCCCACGAGCTATTTTTACTTTTAGTTCTTTGTAGAAGTCATAGTCTGCAGTATCTGAAGAACTGCAAATTCAACACCACTCTACAAAGAATGGCAGTGTATTCCAACATCTTTAGGTTTCTTGAATAGTCATGGATGCACATTCAGGATTAAGAAGTAGTAACATCAAAGTCACGGATACTAATTCAGGACGCGTCTCTGCATGGGCATATAACAAACTACCTATATCTTAATTCACCTTGTATTCATTCATCAATTAGAATATAGTCATTCATAAAGATGAAAGTGGTCAAATTTGGGAATTAACCAAATTGGAGACGCATGTTTCCTCAATAGCATCCGTAGATTGGGAAAAGAGAAAGAAGAATAAGAATAGTATCGAGCCAGAACGTGCAGCCTAGGAGCAGATCAGATTATTAGCCAGGACATGGTTAGACGCTTATACTGTTGAATGCAATAGGAGAAGATGTACAGAATTAGACAATCTTACCCTGTCTTCTTGAAAAGGTTGTTTAACTCATCCCATCGATGCATATGTAAGCATCCCTTAGAGAATCCAAACAACCCATCCCTCTGCTTGGTGAACGGATGGCAAGAAGATTTCAAGTTGCCTACACCATATATTACTTGGTCCTGTAATGAACCTCCGAGTCGTAATCTCAAACCCTTGAAAGCTGTATCACCAATAAATTTAAATCAGAGAAGAGTAGAAATCTAAGAGACGAGAAAGAAATCTAGTTTGCTTATGCACTTCAGATTTTAAGGTGAAATGACAGCATGTTTAAGTCTCACTTTGCTAATTATGGTAATAACAGAAACAACTTAGAAATAGGTTAAAATTATAGCATAATGGCTCGTGCAAACCTTGTATAGCATTTTCCAGAAATGGATGAGATAAATCCTGACAAATCAAAACACATTTAGTAACATTGACCACTCATTTCGTAATCAGAATCTCGATAAGATATTTATACTTATAATATTGAAGAACAACTTACCAGATTTATAATAGATGCCAAGTCCCAAGGACATTGTTTATAGTTACACTTTTCTTTAGGCCACCAATCAAGGGTAGCACAAATGTAATTATCATCTGTCCAGGCAATTTTCACAGATGTATCAATCATAAGTTCTGTATCTTCACCTGTTTGCGCCAAAAATGCAGGACACAGCGCCAGAAAGATTAACAACAAGGTTCGGAAGTCCATTAGATGATTAAGTACAGCAACTTCACCACTGTTTGAACCGAGTCATATACTGCCAAGAGGAATCAAACAAATAAATGTTAAAGAGGCTTTTAAAGAGTAACTTATTCTTTCTAAAAAAGACGAAGGCAGAACATTTCATCGGACAACTTCATACAATAACTTAGTAACTCTGTCCTTGAGCAGCTTTATAAAGTAGTTTAATTTTGTCAATCCAAAACCCCTTGGTATTTCCAGGAAGCTTAGATAAAAAAAATTATAAACTAACTTATATATTCCAGTAACCTTCTGGAAATTAAAAAGGGCAGCCCGGTGCACTAAGCTCCTGCTATGCGCGGGATCCGGTAAAGGGCCGGACCACAAGGATCTATTGTATAGAGTCTTACCTGCACTTCTGCAAGAGGCTATCTACTCCTAGAGTACTTCCAGTAATTTCCAGTAACCTTCTGGAAATTATGAAATGAATTTCTTATTTCTTGGATAAATGAAATAAACCAAGTACTCCTAGAGTATTTTTGACAACTAACTGTGTATTAAGAAAAAAATGACTAGAAAATTAAGAGGCGAACCAAATTGCTTTTCTTGCTCAGATGTAAAAGAACCTAGAACGCTCGGGTCAGTCAAGTGTAGCCAGTTCACGAAACTAATCTATAAGGACAACAGTCATAAAGATAGAGAAGCAAATTTCAATTTTGAAGTTAATTTAGACATTGCAGAACCTATTAAAGACTTTTACTTTTTAGTTTCAGAAAAGTCTTGGCAAGTTTTTTCTTCACGTCCAAGACAATTACCAAGCTACCAGCAGTACAAGTAAAGTCACTATGTCAGCCACATCAATACAAATATACAATACGCAAATTAACCAATTACTCTCAGAAAGCAAGATCCAAATACTACAAGAACAGTCCCTTGAAACAATACACTGCAATATTAAAAACAATAAGAACAAAGAACCAAACGAAATTCACCTCACAAAATCCAGCATAATGAAACTCACGGAGCGCAAATTCCGAGAAAGAACAGACCGACAATCAGCAGACAGTGTACTAAAACACACAGGTGAAGGACAAGAATAGCGAGTGAAATGAAATGGGTTGGTCTCAGATTTCTCAGTTATTAGCTAAAAACTGAAACTTTTTTAGGTGAAGTGTCAGAATCAACTAACAGTCATTCATTCATTTGCTCACGGAGTTTTTGGTACATATGTACAGAACAGTGGCTCGTGTCAAATGCAGACAATAATAAGAGGAAAGATAAAATATGATGAGGTGGCCAGACCATACTCCAATTATTTTTGGAGACCCTTATTTTTGTTGGATTCCAAGTTGTCTTCAGCTTAAAGTCATGCCTTACACCTTATACTTAGCTAATATTGTGCCAAAAGAACAAAATTAAATATTTCTTGGTTTGACAAGGAATGACTCTTTTTATGTATTTTTTTATATTTGAGTAAGATTTGCTTCGGTCAACAGCAGCCGTCAGATCCATTTTCATTAAAAAGTAGCTTAACCAGTCATGATTTCTTGCACTACTTGCATGCTGAATAATATAAAGAGAAATTCCTTTTACAAACCTATACACCATCTTCAACATTCCAATTTGCAACTAAAATTATAGACTATAGTGTTCTTATTGTCGTAGACGCGATAACATTTGTTTCGTAGTTTATAAAAGTATGGTATTGAATCTCTGACTATTTGGCTGACTGGCAGGAAAAATTAACTTGAAGGAGAGTATTGGAATAACGGTAAAGTTATCTTTGTGTGATTTATAGGTCACGAATTCGAACCGTAGAAACAGTCACTAATGTTTGCATTAAGGTAGGCTCTCTAGATCACATCTGACCCTACGTGAACACGAGATATGCACCATGAATTTAAAATAGTCAAGTATAGATTGGTGTTGAAATAAGATGAAAGAAGAACTTATATGATAGAATTGGCAGCCAAGAAAAATTAAAAAGAAGAAAAATACCGAAAGATGAATACAGCTGTTGATCACTGATGAGGCAGCACAGTGTTAAACGAGAAGTGAATAGGCTTTTAAAGCTCTGTTATATAATTGTAATATGTATATTTACTCCTATGTCCTTTTTAATTTGTCATTTTTATCCATACTAACAATTTAGTTCTTCAGAAAAATCAAGAGGCATTAATTATATTTTTCAATTTCATTTTTACTACACCAACAAGGCATATAGTTATTAATTACACATTTAATTATTTACGAAAGAGATAAAGGTAAATTTAGTTAAATAATTAAGGCTATCAAATAATTTTTTTACTGAGTAACCTTAAACGATATGTTAGGATCGGGAACTCGGGTAGTGCGAAATTTTGTCAAACAACGTTATAATGACAATAACAAAGACAATGCAAGTTGACAATAATGGCAATTAAAGAAGATAAAGAAGACATCAATTTAACGTGGTTCGGTCAAAGTGACCTACGTCCACAAGCGGAGATGATCAATTTCACTATACCAATAAGAGTACAAAATTAGAGTAAATACTCTAATTAATCCCAAATACCCTAAGAGAATAATCTCGCAAGATCACTCCAAAGAAAGAGTTCACACAAGTATTTCCCAACACTAACTTTCGTACAAAACACTCTTAATAAAGGAGGAAAAGAAGAAACAAGAAATGAAGACTGAAGTCTTGTTGGTGTGTCTAAAATGAACTAATGGACTTCCCTTTTATAGGCAAAAAAGTATTGGCCTCTTAGGTGTAAAAGAAGAAATACAACTTGTGCAAATGATGTCCACCACACAATACAATATTTTTGGGTCCCAAAGTATATTGCCAACAAAGTCTATACTTTGCAAGGATGCTTATACTTATGTGAGATGGACTCCATTAGCTAAAATATTGGCCATAATTATAAATCTCCACCTTGGCCTAATTTTGGCTGATATAATAAATTTGCTCAACTTTCTCCGCAAAAGCCCCAATGGGCATATGTCAAAAATTAATGCCATCAAAATCAGACAAGTTATCTGATACCGAAACTGTAGTAGGGCCTATAACAGTGGAGACCAATAAAGTATACAACAAACCAGATCTGTATGTTTTCATGATCACAAGAGTACCTTGAAAACTTTTTAGAACTCCACCTTCACCAGTAAATTTGCACCCGAAGGATTCTATAGTGCCCAAAGAGATGAGATTTTTCTTCCACTCATGAACATATCTAACATCGGTGAGAGTTCTCACCACACCATCGTACATTCTAATCTGAATTGTACCTTTGCCAATAACGTTACAAGTAATATTGTTATCTAGTTGGACAACTCTACCTGCAACTGAATCATATGTAGAAAATAAGTCTCTGCTATGACACATATAATATGAATAATCGGAATCTAAAATTCACTCATTGTCTAATCTGAAACTAGTTTCAGTTGCTAAAAATATAGTTCCCTCAATTTCATCAGTTGCTACACTAGCTTCGGCGGTGTCAGTATTTTTGTGCTCATTTTTTCTTTCTTTATGCTTTTCTTTATTTTTCAGTTTATAGCATTGAGAGATAATGTGACCTTTCTTATGACAATAGCGACACTCTAAATTATTGTATCTGGATATGGAGTCGGATTTGCCCCTAACAAACAAGCCAACTTCCGCTTGAGTTCCACTAGCTTCCCCAGTAATATCACTATATATATGTTCTTTTGATTTTAAGATAGATTTAATATCCTTATAGGAGATATTATCCTTTGCATAAATCATAGTATTTCTTATATGCTTAAAAGATGGGGGTAGAGAACAAAGCAGTAACACGGCTTGATCCTCATCTTTAATTTCAGCATCTATATTATTCAAATCCATAAGAATGGAATCAAAGGTGTCAAGATGAGAGAGAATAAAGGTACCTTCACCCATACAAATTGTATAAAGCTTCTGCTTCAGGTAAAATCTATTTTCCACCGTCCTCTTCATATATAAGGTTTTTAATTTTTCTCACATACCTTTGGTTGTGGTTTCTACAGAAACTTCACGTAAAACCTCATTTGAGAGATTTAAAATGATACATGCTTTTGCCTTTTTATCTATGACGGTAAACTCCTCATCCGTCATTTTATCCGGCTTCTTCTCCTTTCCTTGCAACGCCAAATCTAACTCATCCTGAATTGGGATAGTCTCCATTTTTAATTTTCACATTCCGAAGTTTGCACTTCGATCAAATTTCTAAACATAAGTCTTTGTTAAAGTCATATTGGCTACTGAAACAAACCTGGTTAGATACGGCTCTGATACCAATTTGTTAGGATCGGGAACCCTGGTAGTACGGAATTTAGCCAAATAACATTATAATGACAATAACAAAGACAATGCAAGTTGATAATAACGGCAATTAAAGAAGATGAAGAAGACACCAATTTAACGTGATTCAATCAAAGTGACATACGTCCACAAGCGGAGAGGAGCAATTTCACTATACCAATATGAGTACAAAAGAGAGTACAAAATTAGAGTAAACACTCTAATTAATCCCAAATACCTTAAGAGAATAATCTCACAAGATCACTTCAAAGAAAGGGTTCACACAAATACTTCACAACACTAACTCTCATACAAAACACTCTTAATAAAGGAGAAAAGGAAGAAACAAGAAATGAAGACTCAAGTATTGTTGGTGTGTCTAAAATGAACTAATACAACAACAACAACAACAACAATAACAACAACAACAACTAGTGGGGTATGGGGAGGGTAGTGTGTACGCGGACCTTACCCCTACCCTATGGTAGAGAGGTTATTTTCGATAGACCCTCGACTCCCTCCCTCTAAGAACTCCCCACCTTGCTCTTGGGGTGACTCGAATTCACAACCTCTTTGTTGGAAGTGGAAGGTACTCACCACTAGAGCAACTCACTCTTGTCTTTAAAATGAACTAATGGCCTTTCTTTTTATAGGCAAAAAAAGCATTGGCCTTTTAGGTGTAAAAGAAGAGATACAACTTGTGAAAATGATGTACACCACACAATGCAATATTTTTGGGTCCCAAAGAATATTGCCAACAAAGTCTATATTCTGCAAAGATGCTTATGCTTATGTGAGATGGATTCCATTAGTCAAAATATTGACCATAATTACACGATACATACAAAAAACCGAAACCAGTAATAAGATTTCAAGCATTGGGTACTGATTGTGTGAATTGTATTTCAAAAACTTTGTTGTAATAGTTTTGGATCCCACCACTCGGAAAGGGAAGAACATTTAATCATTCATTTAATTTGATCATAAAATGCTTTAATATCTGCAGACTGCAGTGTCCACCGACATGGCCACACCGGAAAGCTTTCACACTTAATGTTCGTATTCACCGTGATACTATATTGCAAGATCTTCAATTATTCTTGAACTAAAATCAAGATTTCACCTCAATTTTATTATATTAGTTCTGCACGTGCGTTGTACGTGTATTCCATATAATTAGTACAAAATTGACAAAATTACATTGTTTTGTACATGAATAGTAAACTCTTTGAATCATGATTGCATTTATAAGAAAAGATTTTCACTTAAAAATTATAACAATCTGAATATTTAAGCTAAGAAAAATAGAAGAAGAAGATAAAATATAAGAACTGTAAATGATATCTATAAAAATTACTCCCTCCGTTCAATTTTAGTTGTTCACTTTTGATTTTGCACTCTCTTTTAGAAAAAATAAATGAAATGTATTTTTAATTTTACCCATAATAAGGATAGGATTTTCAAAAGAATTGGGAACTGGTTTGGGGAATGAGTAGTTAATGATAATGGTAAACAATATAAAAAAATTATTTTTTTCTTGATTTATTATAGTGGATAGGTAAAAGTTAAAATGTATTTTTAGTATAATGGATAATTAAAAGTGAACGGAGGGAGTATTATACGCATGAGAAATTAAAGAGCTTAACTTTATATAGTGAAGAATTTAGATGCATGTACCTTAATAAATTCTTTGACAATCTCAAGGCAAATTTAATGTTACAAAACTAACTTTTAGAGCTTACATATTCTTTTATCGGAAAAGGGCCAAAAATGCCCTTGAACTATCTAAAATAGCTCAAAAATGCCTTTCATTTGTTTTTTGGTACCAAAAATATCCTTGCCGTCTATTTTTTGGACCACAAATGCCCTTAAATTGTTAGTATTGTCATTGAAGGTGACACAACAATCCAACTGGGTTAGATTTGCTTACATGGCCATCCACCTAAGCAATCCAACATGGCAAAATTATTTTTCCGAATTTTTTTTAAAAATACAAAATCAACACTTATTCCCAAAAAAGTAAAAAAATTCTGAAAAAATTATTTTCCGAAATTTTTTTTTTTCGGATTTTAAAAAAAATACAAAATCAACACTTATTCCGAAAAAAAGTAAAAACAATTCCGGAAAAATTATTTTCGGAAAAATTATTTCCGGAAAAATAACTGTTTAATGGCATTTGGACCACAAAATCAACACTTTCTGGAAAATTATTTATTTCGAAAATTTTTATTAAAATGCAAAATCAACACTTATTATGAAAAAAAGTAAAATATTTCCGAAAAAAATATTTTTTCGGAAAATTATTTTTTCGGTTTTTTTTTTTACTTTTTTTTCTAAACAAGTATTGATTTTGTATTTTTTTTAAATCCGGAAAATATTTTTTTCGAAAATTATTTTTTCGGAAAATAATTTTTCCAGAATTTTTTTACTTTTTTCGGAATAAGTGTTGATTTTGTATTTTTAAAAAACATTCGGAAAAATAATTTTGCCATGTTGGATTGTTTAGGTGGATGGTCATATAAGCAAATCTAACCCAGTTGGACTGTCATGTCACCTTCAATGACAAGACTAACAGTTTAAGGGCATTTGTGGTCCAAGAAATAGACGGCAAGGATATGTTTGGTACCAAAAACAAACGAAGGGTATTTTTGAACTATTTCAGATAGTTCAAGGGCATTTTGGCCCTTTTCCGTTCTTTTATTAATATTGGATGTATTATTAAATATTAATATAACTCTTAATGGCATAAAAGTCCAATAATATTATAGGGTTATATTAGTCTTTCACATTCAACTTTTGATTTTCATGCTTATAATATAGTATGATATATCAAAAACACCTTCAAGAGTTTAGAGGGTGTTGGCTAAGCCTATAAGTTGGTCAAACTGGCTTATAAGTATTTTTGGCTTATCTACGCGTTTGGTAAACACTCAAAGTACTTATAAGCTAAAATCAGTCATAAGTTATAAGTTAGAGGGTGTTTGGCTTTATAAGCTGAACAAACTGCTTATAAGCACTTTTTGTCTTATTTACGCGTTTGGTAAATACCCAAAGTGCTCATCAGCTAAAATGAGCCATAAGTCATAAGTTGGTCACCTCCAACTTATGGCTTTTCAACTTATAAGCACTTTTTGTTTGACCAAGACTTTTACTGGTTTATGCTTAATAATAATTTTTAATTCACAAAATATTTTTCCCAAAATAAATGTTCTAACTTTATTTTCATCCCATATTCCTTGTTCATCTTTTTCTTTACAAAGAAACTTTTTAATTTATAATCTTTTCTAAAATTTTTTAAGGATATTTTAGTCTTTTTAACAAAAGAATAATTTATCAGCATTTTTCTACCAAACACATCAATTGTTTATTATTAGTTTCAGCACACCTATCCAAACACGTAAATGCTTATTTAAAATATCAGTTTCAGCACTTAAAAATACTTTTCAGCACTTTAAACTTATCAGCTATTTACAAGCAGCTAATTCAAACGGGCTCTTAGTCACCCCAACTTATGACTTTTCAGCTTATAAGCAATTTTAGTTTGACCGAGGCTTTTACTAATTTATCCTTAATAATATTTTTAATTCACAAAATCTTTTTTCAAAATAATTTTTTAACTTTTTCATCATTCTATATTCGTTGTTCATCATTTTCTTTATAAAGAAACTTTTTAATATATAATCTTTTGTAAAGTTTTTAAGGGTATTTTAGTCATTTTAATAATAGAATAGCTTATCAGCACTTTTCTACCAAACATATCAACTGCTTATTATCAGTTTCAACACGTCTATCCAAACACGTAAATGCTTATTTAAAAAGTTAGTTTCAGCACTTCAAGCTTATCAATTATTTATAATCAGCTAATCCAAACGAACTCTTAGTTTTTTCATTTTGTCATCATGCGATGAATGCGAGCTGATTTCATGTCTCTTATTATCGATCTTAGTTTTTTGATACTTTTTTTGATTAAGATATACTTAAAGTTAAAATATTAGAATGAACAACAACAACAATAACAAATTCGGTGAAATCTCATAAACGGTGTATGGGGTTACAAAAATAGTCTTAGCACTACTGGTAAGCATAGGAGGAACACACTACTAACTGTCAACCTACAATCATAATCCTCGGCCTCTATATCTTCCTATCGATGGTCATATCCTCGGTAAGTTGAAGCAATGACATGTCCTGCCTAATAACCTCTCCCCAATAGTTCTTAAGCCTACTCCTTCCCCTCCGCAGACCAACCATGGATAACCCCTCACACCTCCTGACCGGTGCATCTATGTCTTTCCTTTTCACATGCCCGAACCATCTCAACCTAAATTCCCGCAACTTGTCCTCCATAGATGTCACTCCTACCATGTCCCTAATAACTTCATCCCTAATCATTTCCTTCCTGGTATGCCCACACATCCATCTCAACATCCTCATTTCAGCTACTTTCATTTTCTAGACATGAGACTTTTTGACATGCTAGCACTCAACTCCATACAATATAGTTGGTCTAACCACCACTCTGTAGAACTTGCCCTTAAGTCCAGGTGGTACATTCATATCACACAAAACCCCTAGGGCGAATTATCTCATCCACCCTACTCCAATACGATGAGTAACATCCTCGTCAATCTCCCCATTGCCTTGAATAATAGCTCCAAGATACTTGAAACTATCTCTTTTAGGGATGACTTGAGTACCAATCTTCACTTCCACTTCTTCTTCATGCAACCCATCACTAAACTTGTATTCCAAATACTCAGTTTTTAACATACTCAACTTGAAACCTTTAAACTCCAGTGTCTGTCTCCAAACTTCCAACCTAGCGTTAACTCCGCCTCGCGTCTCGTCAAGCAATATTATGTCATCAGCGAATAGCATACACCATGACACCTCCCTTTGCATGTGTCGGGTCAGCACATCTAATGCTAAGGCATACAAAAACAGGCTAAGAGCCGATCCCTGATGCAACCCCATCTCCATTGAAAAATAATCTGAGTCACTTCTCGCGGTCCTCACCCGAGTCTTCGCTCCCTCATACATATCCTTAAATATTAGAATGAGTTTTACTAAATTACCCCGAGGAAGTAATTTATTTTATGGTTAAATTATTAATATGAGATAGTTTTTTAGTTCTTGCATTCAATGCTAGCTATTCAGATTAAAATTTGATCTCTGAAAACCAAGATTTCAATTGAAGCATCTGCTCGATATGAAAAGGAAGGGAACCCAAACACATAGATGTACATTGTTCTTTTGGCATTACCGAATCAATAGAGGTGTAGTGGAGTAATAAATATTTATTCATTCTTATTTAATTAAATATCTCAAATTCAAGTTCTAAGTATAAAGTCGTTGGTTAGGAAAACTTTACCTCCCAATATTGAATTTTCATACGCAAATTTAAATATCATTTTACCTCTCAATGTTAAACTTTCGGATACGAATTCAAACATCGAATCGAATAGGAAATAAAAGTACAAAAAATAAACCAAACATAAAATACAAAAAGAAGAAAAAAACCTAACATAACACCTCGCTCATTCTCTCCACCGTCCTCGAACCCTAGACCATAGGTGCCAGAATTCCAGCAATTGTAAAAGGGCCCCACCCTTTAACAAGTGGAACCCTTGTGATTGGCTTAAAGTTCAATCATTATGGAGATACGGAAGACTTGGTTAAATTAAAAAAAAAAAGGGGACCTCAATGTCAATATGGACAAAATTTGAGGATATATTAGTAAAAAAAAAAGTCACGAAGACACCATCTTCTTCCTCACAGAAAATCAATGCCCCCGGAATAAAAAATTTAATTTAACTATTCTCAGCACATTCTCTTATGCAGCTAGGTTCTTTAATGGAGGTCGTCACTCTCCCAAAACCCTAGAAAATTGGAAAAAATTAAAGGAAGAAAAACAACGATTAAAAGTTCAGCTCTTTGGAGTTTCCAACAAAGTTCATTCCTGGTTATTTATTTTCATCAAGACTCTTCTTTTATTACTCAAATTTCAGCCCCATTTTTATCGAATTTGGATACCCATATTCCTCAAAATCATATTTCGGTCGCTGTTCTGCATTTTTTTTTTTTTTTTTTTTAAAATATATATTTAGAGCTTGTATCTTTTAATAAGATTAGGAAAGGCGTTATTTTTTGTTCAGAAGGATCACATTATTTATTTGTTTGGGCGAGGGGCCGGCGGGGGGGGGGGGGGTTCTTTTTATATTTTTTTACTAGTGTTGCAAATTAGTGATTAATGTAAAGGTATTTTATTTTGGGGTTGGGAATCTATTGTTGTTTAATGGAGAGCAGTGAAGGAGGGGATGATCAAGAAGGCTCTGGATGGATGCAAGTTAAAAAGGTCTGGACTTTTCACACATCCATCTCTCAATATTAATTAATTCAGCTTTTAAATCGTTTTAATTTTATGTTTAAGCTGAAAGATGATGAATGAAAATGGGTTTAATAGTAGAATGCAAATAATTATAAACCATGTTTGAGTCGTGTCACTGGCCTAATGTCAAGAACGTACCTCCTGATAATCTGGTGTTTCAGGTATTCTTTTATTAGAAAAAGTATCAAAGGATTGAACTTTTCCTGAATTCATGTAGATGAATTAGTTGAATTTTAGTTATTTGAGAAAGAACTAATCATTTTCAATATGTTTCTGAAAAATGGATTGGTGGATTACACTAGAATTGGGCATATTCACCGGCATTTAGTGAAGAGATGGTGATTTAATTGGGCAAGTTTTATATTTTCTTTCTTGTTATCGGTACCAAAGAAAAGCCCTCTAGAGAAATGAAGGGCAGCTGAATAGGTTCTCTTTGTCGTATTGCTGAAGCTGAAACGGAAATTTATTGAATGAAATACTCTTACATTTGTATTTTTCTATCGCATGGTTCATCTATAATCTTCCACTTTCTCTTTCTGATAATTCCATTTGTACGTTTTAGCGACCATAGTGTTGTGCACATGCTTCTTAAGTGCTGGATTTAGCTCATCGCAAAAACTGAGATATCCCTCTATCCCTTCACCTCTTTTCACTGCATGGGGTGAGTTCCGCTGTTCTGGGGTGAAAGCAGATAATGGAAGACCAGGGGCATCTAAGATTCACGATAGTAAGTGTTGCTGGATTGTTGTTCAAAAAAACATTGTTTCACAGAACACTGAATGCAATGGACGGCGTCTTGCTTTATCATCCTTATGCCTTATAGCTTATTAAAGTATAAGAAATTTACTCCTTCACTGCTGTTTAAGTGGTTTGAATGGAGTAGAATGTGTGGCTAATAGCAATACATGTTTGCAAAATATGCAAAAAAGAAGAAGAAAGGAAATAGTAAAAAGAGAGAAAAACAGGTAAGTACAGTTCTGGCAATTCTGCGTTTAGGAGATTCACCAATAAATCAACCTTTCCTGGAATTTGAATGCCTTATTTCTTGTATGCTCTGTTGTCTTGTCATTAACAGATGCTATATGTATCAGGATTAAACTGCAATTTTCTCATCAACAATAATGTAGAGTGCCTTGCGTTTTGCGCAATTAAAATTTGTCTATTTGTTATTCAATGTGTGGACCTCTTGTGCAGAAGCACAGGCACAGTTCAAAGTTTTCACTACATGGTTGGGTTGGAGGATCATCTCAAGGAACTGCTTCTTGCAATCCAGAAAATCGGTCTTCATTGAGTGTAAAAAGTGAAAATTTTAAATCTGCCATTCAGCATTCAAAAGGAAGTGGACGTTGTATTAGGCATGATGATGTTACTTCAATTCCGAAGGAAGATGCAGTGATTGTGCACGATAAATGTGTGGTCAGTCACAGTAGTAATTCTGTTAGTTTAGGTTTTCCAACAGATTCCAATCAAGGAGTCAGTCAGGAACATCCTCAAATAATTAACCATGACATAATACCAAATATCAAGTGGGGTGACTTGGATGATCGAGCTCTAACATCTCATTTTGGAAGTACTGTCCAAGCAGAAATTAAGTTCGGTGACATTCTAAATCATGATCTGCTTAGTACAAAAGCTGATCAAACAAGTGATTCCTTTGTACACACTTCTCCAACTGATCTAGAGAAAAATAGATTGGTTACTGAGGAAAGCCATCAAGTTGTCAGCTCGAATCCTTTGTCTCCCAAGATTGAAGCTGTTGAAAAAACTTGTGTGAAGTTGAAGGATTTATCTTCAGAAGATGTTAATGCTTCTGCTGTTTCTCCTCTTTCTGGAGGGCAATGTGGACATACCCAGCTTGAAAAAGGTGACACTTGCAACAGTCCTGGCGAAAAGCTTAACATTGCTGCCAGAGAAGGGCCTCGTGGGGTAACTGTGCACAGTGTCGAATCTGAAGAAGCTTGCACAGAAATCCCTGAAGTGCCTAGTGTTGATCAGGATATAAAAACAGTGGTCGCTTCACAGGATTCTGAGCCAGTGCCACCCGATAAAGGAGGATCGGGAAACAATGGGCAGCCTTACCTGTCGTCTCCTAGTGAAGAGTTTAGGAGCAAACGAGTTGATTCAATTATTGAAGATTTATCAAACTCTAACTTGAGTAGTATTGATGCAGAAGGCATTGGTGAAAGTAAAGAAAGGTTCAGGCAACGCCTCTGGTGCTTTCTCTTTGAGAATCTTAATCGGGCAGTAGATGAACTCTACCTACTCTGTGAACTGGAATGTGACCTGGAGCAAACACAAGAGTCTATTCTTGTTCTTGAAGAAGCTGCATCTGATTTTAAAGAACTGAGTTCAAGAGTGGCGGAATTTGAGAGACTGAAAAAATCCAGTTCTCATGCGACTGATGGAACACCTCTGACCATGAAGTCTAACCATCGCAGACCACATGCTCTCTCATGGGAGGTGAGTATTCTANAGTGAGTACTCTAGCTCTCATTTTTCAATGTTTTAAATTGGTAACTGTAAAAAATTACACAACAATCTCAGCCATTTGGAAGTTGAAAAACTGCAGTTTTGAATGCATGCATGCATACCAAGAATATCTGCTGGCCAGTCATTATTATATTCCATCTATGCTAAAGAAATGGTTTTGCATGTCTTTTACCTGGTTTTTGGTACTGGTAGCGCCCACAGTTTGGGCCAGGGAAGTCCTTCAGCTCGTTAAACGGAGGGATATATTCTGTCTTTTCAAATACGCTTCCCCCAGCAGGCAACAACATTGGGATTCTTGAATTTTCTTTTCATTTATTTTTACCTATTCGATAGTAATTGGATGAACAATCATGACAACATCGCCCTCTTTGGCGCCTTATTTGTGTGTGTTTGGGGGGG